CAAATATATTTTCCAGGTTTCCAGGTTCTCTTTTTCTTTTGATATTAAATTTAGATTTTTTTTAATGGAATTGCAGTTAAATATTCCAGAGAATTGTCTGAGCACCCTTGATTGTTGTAGTAAAATGTATTAGTTTTAGTAAGCAGTTTCTTAAACTTCCCTCTTTTATTTTAAGAAAAAAAATAAAAGTAAGCTTGAACAAAGTATCTGGCACACCTGCTGAGCAGCGCAAGACGTGGCTGGAGAGAGGAGAACTTTTTGGTCTTGGAATTGCTCTGATGTAATGAGGAATGGGCTTTGCTTGTCTGTGGAAGGTTACGCAGTTGGCTGTGCCCAGGAAGGCTGGGTACATGTTCTGCTATAATGTCTGCGTGTGTCTTGGAATCAAGGGAGAATTTCAGAGAAATAAAGGAATCTTAAGAAACAGAACTGCAAAAACTGACAAGAGAGAATAAAAGGGAATGACATTTTAGAGGGTAATAACCTCTCCAAATTGAGAGATGGGTAACTTAATAGTGTAATAAAAATGCTCAAATACTGATTAAAAAGGACTACTAGCCTTCTACGTATTAGTTGATAAAAATGCAGTCTTTAATAAAAAGATGTTGCTTATTTCATCAAACAACATTTCAATTTTTTATCTAGTAGAAATGTGTTAAGATTTTAAGAAGCTACAAGTACTGCTCTAGAGAATTTAAAAAATGTATGCATGCGTCATTAATTGTTCTTCTCTATGTTCTTTTTTCAGACCAGTCTTTCCATATGGGGATGGGGAAGTCTTGGCGTTGTGCTTTTTCTAATAACTTTTGGACCCTTCGCTATATTTTACTTTGCGTTTTATATCCTCTGCTTTGTGGGTGGGTAAGTATACAACAGTGTCTGGTATAATTTCCTGTGAAGGTAAAACTGTAATGTGCATGTTAGTGAAAAAAAACATTGCCCTGAAAATCTGCAATGAGTTCCATGCAATAAATGTTTTCATATTTGAGAATCTCTTATTTTATGAGACAATTTTTTTTTGACATCTCAGATTTAACCAAAATAAATTTACTGTTGAATAGTGCTTCTTGTAGTATCCTTGCCAACACAAAAATATTTCTGATTCAGGAGAAAAAGATTAGTAGCCATTTGTAATGTGTAGATAGGAGGACAAATATTCACATAAGAAATTATCGCCACTTTTTCTGTTACTGTCTCAGTTCTTTCCTCGGTTATTCATTATGTAATCATTATGTACCTTTTTCTTGTCACAACCTTGTGTTCCTATATAAGATATGCACTTAGATGTCACTTCAGTCATGAGGAAAGCCAATAGGTTGTTTTTTCAGATGGTGAAAATAAGCCTGCGTATGGCTACATTTTGTGCACATGAATCAGCTCAGCAATTGTAGATGCTTCCTTCTTTAAGCTATATCCTCTATAGAAAGTAAGGGGGGAAATAAGTGCTTTTATACTACATGATGTAATATCTGTATTAAAAATAGTTTCTGCATTGTAGCTTGTGTAACTTCAGTGTAGGTGGGATATTCCTACTTTGTCTTGCACGTACATCTATTATCTGCAGCGCAGTGATGTTTCTTGTCTCTCCAAGACCGTGCCTGACTTGTAAGTGGGCATTTGGATTACTCGTTAATATTTTTATTTTTCACCTTGGAAACTAGTCCTAGTCTTCTTATTGGGTGTAGTACATAATGTATACCTGTGTGTCAGATTTAAGGATGTAGCAGAATTTGATGGCTAGAATTACAGACCTTGTACTCATATTTTAACTATGTTAAGCTTTGGAATTCTATTTTTGAGGTTTCATAAAAGTAAATATACAATAAATAGGATCTGGTTAGAATACAGCTTGTTTTTTTGTGTAAATGCCTTTGTCTTGCTGAGTTGAGACAAAAGTTCTGTATTAAAAGTTTTATATTACTACATTTTTAGTATTTGCAGTATGAAAAATAATGTGCGATTTAATAAAAACTAGATACTTAACCTTCCTTTGTGCGCTATTTTACTTGCTTGGCTTGTCAAAGCTAACAGACAAGGGAGCCTCTCATGGGGTATGTCTCAAATCAGCTGCAGTTTATAACTGTGAGCCTGTCTGAGGCCAGCTCTGGTATCTTTGCTGTGTTTCATTGCTGCTTTGGTTCATTATGGGATGTTTTTAATGTGCACTGATCTTCTCGAGGCCAAATTCATCCTGTGGTAGTATCTATTAAACCAGACCTTGTATCCGTCTTCCTTGTAGGTGTTTATGTAGGTACGTATTAAATCTTATCCCTTCCAGTAGAATGTTATTACATTTTTGGTTTAATGTACACATATTTTTGGCTAATACCCTTTTTTACACTGTTAATCTTTTGACAAGTGTGACATGTACTTTAAGCTCCAATATTCAGGATGCAGAGCTGGGAGTACTAACTAGGTCAAACAGGTTTATGTCAAAATTATTCTTGTCTGCTTAAATCTTTCCACCTAGTTATGCAAAGTGCTTAGTTCTATTCCTCCTGAAAACACAAACTGATACTAATGTTTTAAAGTAGCTTTTGCACCTGTGATTAGAAATTACATATTCACAACACCATTTATATAACTAAAGAAAACAAGAATGTTTCCTGTTCATGGTAACTTTCTAAACTCCTTACTTAGCCGTATCTTGAGCCTGTTAACAGTTCTGGATCTAAATTTTTAACCTATGATTTAATGTTAATATTTTGAATTCTTACCAATTTAGCAAATAGTTTTCTAACTTTTTATGCTTGCTTAAAAATGGTGGCCCCTGTCAGTGTTTCCTGATTTCTACTACCTAGGGGCCCCATTTTACAGCTCAGACAGGAGCAAATGTGGAACTGCAGTTGGTTGCATCCTTACTATTGACCTGAATATTTAAAATACATGGTAGTAAATTGTGAAGGGAAACATTAGTGATGCCATAGTTGTATCAATGCAATAGTTTTGTGCTACCACTTTTGTTATGTATTAATTATTTCTTTTTGCTGTAGTTCCCTCTCTGTATCCTAAACGCATTGGGAAAGGGGTAGAGAAAGGAATCTGTGACTCTGCCAATGGCCATAGGCTTCTGATGTTGGCAGAATTTAATTTTTGTTTGCACAATTTGAGGAATTTGTTCTGCCCTCAAAAATCATAATTAAGAGTATTGATTCTTGTTCCAAATATATGGACTGGCTGCCTACACTGATGATTCTAATTGCGAGCCCAATTGGGATTGGTTCTGAAGCTGCTTTTTGACCTCTGAAAGAATTCAGCTGAGGTGAAAATGATAAATCTTTATCTGTTGTTAATGTGTCCCTGTGAAATACTGGTCTTCCAATAATCTTTGGAAAAACTTTATAAAGTAAATTTAAATACCCTATGATCTTAGAGAAAAGTCTAAAATGATTTGTGTTTACAGGGCTGAATATGCTTCAATCCTTCACAGAATAGGTAGCTCATCAGGCTTCCTTTTTCAGTTTTATTCACTTAGAGAAAAGTCTAAAATGATTTGTCTTTACAGGGCTGAATATGCTTCAGTCCTTCACAGAATAGGTAGCTCATCAGGACTTTGCAGCACAAGTACTTAACAGCAATACTGGGTGGCCTGGCTGCATGTGCTTTTCTAAAGCATCCAAGACGATAAGTCAGGGAATAAAATGAATTGATTTCAGATACAGAAGCTCCTATAATTTCTGGTTAAAAAAAAAGCAAAATATTGCCAGGCATCTAAGAAGATGAGCATACATTTGAACTGTCTTGATAGGATATTGTATTTTTGAATGAGTCATTAACTTCAAATGCGTCATTATCTAACATTTGACAAAAAAAAAAAAAAGCTGTATAATCTATAGCTAGTTACTTCCAAAGCTTCTGTCCTTTGAATAAAGAAAGAGAAGGGATGTCCCCTTTTCAGAAGTTGTTAATGTCTGTCTGAAGGTAAAACTGTTTTTCTGCAAAAATTGCCTTTTGATAAACTGATTCTGTTAAAAGTAGCCTGAGGTTTCTAATAGTAGATTATTTTTTAAAAAAGCTATTTTAATTAGCTACTTTTTAACAGCTCTTTTTTTAAATTTTTTTAGTGCAATAAAACTAATATTGAATAATTAGCTAAGCACATTTTTTGGTCCTCAAACTGAATTATGATACTAAAAACATCATCAGTGTTAGGATTTTAAAGCTCACTGGAGCAGCTGAGTAATTAAGCTTTTTTTAAAACAAATACATTATTTATTATTATTATTATTATTATTATTATTATTATTATTATTATTTTCCTTCTTCCTTAATTGTCTTTCAGT